CCGCGCGCCACTCTGCCACGCTTGGAAGAACTTCAGACCGGAATCGCGCCGAGCCGAGTGACATCTGGTGTCGATTCCGACAACAGAGTTTTGCGCGAACAAACCCCCGTCCCGGACATAAGGATTTAGGTCCGCGAGCAAACCGGTCAGCGGGACAAGGTCGAGACTGCAAGTTGCAAGACCGAATCTACAACCAAACTAGGCCACCTTAGGCGATCCATTAGGTCTTGCAACCCCAATCAACGCCTCAAAGATATCCCTAATGTGGCAAGCCGGAGGGTCAGCCTCCACTGGATGCCCCTCCTGGGCATCGCAGCACTTTAATAAGTCCTGTACTGGACAGAAGTCCGACGACCTCTTTCAAACACCTATCTGTGCCCCTATGATTAGTTCCGCAATCCGACCGGATCAGCTCTGCAAACAGCGACGCTACACGAAGCTGCCCCGACAAATTTTGTGCCAGCAGTTGCTTCAGTGCAGAGCGCACCCACAAATTCCACATGAACGTCGTCTGTGGAGAGCCAAACGAAACGCACAGATAGTCCCTAGTATGAATTTTCAACAAGTAGGCCTAGCCAGGCCACCCACCATATTATCATTTACTAAAATAGCGCGGCAGCTGATTTCAATCAGATAATCTCCAAAACTAGCTAGCCTGTTAGGCAAGTAGTCCTATGCTCATATTTCAACTAATTTTTCAAAAGCATCAATGTTCAACTACAGAATTAATTCAACCAAATTAATCACCGATGCGCATAGGTCAACTTGCAAATTAAACAAAACAATAACGTAAGGGACAGCCCTACTTCTTCGCAAAGCAAAATGATTAAACACTATCATAAACATAAACATAATTTTTCAAATAGTGCGCCATTCCATTTCAGATGAATTCAAATTTTCCTTTCAGCAAACAAACGCAACAATCAAATACAGTGATTAAATATATGTACAAAACACATGCAGTAGCATTTAAAGGAGTAGATTAAATTCAATTCTTTTAATTTAAACCGCTACAAATAGGAAAATTTCGCGGAAAGCCCAAAGCAATTTTTAATTTTAATTCAAGTATTTTTTGACTAAGTGCTCGACCAAACCAAATCTAATACCCCTTGACAACGTGATTCAACGCTCCAGAGGGGGCCCTAATCTTCCCACCACTAAGGGGAGGCCACATGGCGTGAACCCGAGATAAATAGAGCACAACCTTTAACAGTTGCCACTCGGGTTGTACGCCTTCACTGAGGCCGTCGGCAACAGAACATTTTGACAAGTGGACTGTTGACGGCTTAAGGCTCAGTGGAGGCGGCCGTGGTGGGAACTAGGCAGCAGCTAGACAGGGCCGCCTCCATCAAATGGGGAACAGTGGTACACCAGTCGCGGCCACTCAGCTAACGGAAGTGAGAAGGGTCCAGCGGACCGATGAGTGGCCGTGAAGTTCCTCTCCACACGCTGAGGGGGGGTGATGACACCCCCGCCCCTGGGGGAATTACCCCCCAACTGCTTGGGGGAGGGGCCCCTTTCAAACTTAGGGGCCTGGTGGCTGGCCGGCGAGCGCCGATTGTCGCCCAGCAGAGGGCGTGGCTGAGCGCCCCCGCCCGTGGGGGTCGAGGGCCTGGCAGAGCCCCGAGAGGAGACGCCGTTGGCACCCAGGCACAAAACGGCATGGTGATTGCCCTGGCAATGCAGACAGGGCCGTCGATGCGGACAGTCTCGCTGGAGGTGCCCTCCCAGACATGACCAGCACCAGCGGCGCTCCTTGGCGATAGTTCGCCTCGCAGGAACCGGCTTACCTAATAATTTCGGGCACAACGTTACCCGGTGATCAGATGCTCGACAATAGGAGCAGGGGGAGGTTGACGACGACTTGCCTGGCGGGTTCAGCCTCTCACTGGGCACGTCTCGTAAGTCGTCAACGGTGCCCGCCGCGTTCTCGATCTGCCGGCACTGCTCCTCTAAAAACCGCAGCAGGTCATAGAAGGGCGGAATATAGGAGGCCTCGTCCCCGCCGTACCTCTCCTCAAAATGGATTCGAAGTTCGAGAGGTAGACGGGACAGCACTATGCGGAACAACAAAAAGGCCCATTCGCCCACTGGTAAACCCAGCCGCCTCAACGTATTACAGGCCACCAAGACTGGATCCAACAGGTCCGGACGCAGTCTGGCCCGGTCACTAAGCAGCGGGAGGCTTAGAAGCTGCTTAACATGCTCGTCTGCAATTCGCCGGACGTTGGCGTATCTTCTCGCTAGGAGGTCCCGAGCAGTCTGGTAGGCGTCGTCCGACAATTTCAAGTGGCCGACGACGCCCAGGGCCTCCCCCTCCAGTGAGGCCAGGAGGTACGCCATCTTTTGTCTCGGGGTCAAGTCACTCCGGGCGTCCACTAGGCTGTCGAAAAGACCAACGAAGGTCAGCCATTCGGAAAGGACCCCGGAGAACTTTGGCAGGTCCAGAGTTGGGAGTCGTCCCAACAGCTCCGGCTGAAGCTGCTTCAGAGAGGACTCGGGCAGGTTACTCATCCGAGCTTCACGCGCCTCCTCGGCATACCTGCCTTCAGCCTCGATCAACTCGTCCGTGAGCCACAAGAACTGCTCATAGTCCGCAAAGCAAGAGTCCAGGACTCCCTTCTCCACATCCGAATCCTCGAGCTCAGCGTAAGCCTCCTCCACTGCGGCCCTTCGAGCATCCACCTGCTCGAACCGCTTCATCAAGTTATGGACCCTATCCGGTCGACCTATCAAAGCATGGGCGCTTGTGGCCCAGCGTAGCTCAGTCCGCAAACAACGGATCAGTAGCTTGGGCGATGTCATCACTATTAAATACAAATTACGACGCGGCTCGAGCACAAATTACAAAGATAACAAATAAAAAATATACCAAAAAATTAACAGTTAATAAATGCAGTTCCTATCAAACAGCGTTGAATAGAAATTACACAAATACGAATTACTACGTATCAACCAAATACAAGTTAGCACCAAAGAAGAGACACAAATCAAATTAACAATAACAAATACTAGTGCGACCAAATCAAGTTAAATTCAAATGGCGTAAAAATCCAAATTACTACTCTTTAGTTCAAATACAAATTACAGTATAAACGAAGATACACATCACGGTCGATCAACAAAAATGCCTAGCTCGGAAATCGACCCTTCGATAAGTAATCCACTACAACTCTCCGACAACGATAATTAACCGATTACGTAAAAATAACCATCTACCTACATGACGTATATCTCTAGAAAAACTCCCGCTTGCACAACCTAGGGCGCGGCTTTTCAAATTACCCTCTAACCACAAAAAAGGCAAGCAACAAAGCAACAAAGGAAAATAATTCTATTATTACGTACAAAAAAAAATATTTTTACGTATTACGGACGGGCGTGATTGTAGATGCAAATTAAACCAATCACACCAACGCTCCCTGCCACCAAAATTGTTTAATGTTTATCAAACACTATAGTCGGGATCGACCGGGAATCGAACCCGGAACCACGCTCTGCTACCAGTTTGTTACGGCCTACGGTTGCTCCCTTAAAGGATCCAATCCCCTGGGGCCCATCAGCAGAAGACTTCCCGAGCAAACGTAGGTCGGGCCTCCTAAGGCCACGTGGAATCTCTCTAATTACACTAAAATATATGGGGGAGCGTTATACTACGGCCAGTCGACCGGAAGGAATTTGGCGGAGTTCACTTACCTCTATCCAAGGCGACTGGTCCCTCCGGAGTCGGTCAGGTCGCATGTGGTTGTGTAGTGCAAGGGAAAGAATGGTGATGTGGTGTGTATCTGGGTGTGACTGATGGTGATTGAACCTAGACCTTAGCCGTCGGCAGCAGCCCGAGCGTCGACGCCGCTCCAACTTGAGGGGGCCTTTCGAGGTTATCCACAGTCACTTTCTTGGTTCACCACGATGACAGTCACTTAACTCTATCGTACTATTAACTAGCTTACAGAAGCCACTAACTATCGCGGGGTATAAGGTTACCGCACAAAACACGCCCGGAGTTTCTGGGTCAAAGGTCACTACCGTTTCGCGTAGCAATAGTTAATTCTAGAATCAGAGGCCGCACTAGCTTATATTGTCGAATGCACTTATACAGATTCTGAGTCGGACCCAATAAGTCCCGGGAAAGGCTATCCAAACAGGGAATGCGCGTTATAATTCCTAGACAGGATATTTACTAGACGCCCTAACTATTCCGCGGTTCCCGCACAAAATTAACAGCGTGCAAACATTAGCGCATCTGGCCGATGACAGACTCGCTTGCGACCCGCGCGCCACTCTGCCACGCTCGGAAGAACTTCAGACCGGAATCGCGCCGAGCCGAGTGACATCTGGTGTCGATTCCGACAACAGAGTTTTGCGCGAACAATAAGTTATCAAATATATATTAACAGATTTATTTTTTTTAACTTTTACCCAGGCAAACTGATGAAATGTATAGCCGTGTATTGTATTTTACTCTGTGACAGTCCCAAAAAACATTTATTTTTACGAGCGTAATCAGAAAAAAATATGATCTTATAGGCATTAAGATTTGACAAGATAACTATGCTATAATATAATATAGAATATGTATGTATATAGGCTTATGTATATCTGACGCCCCTGACTAGATGGAGTGAAGGCCTGGTACGACATGCAGGAAGTCGATGGATGCAGTTGGCTCAGGACTGTACTTTGTGGCGTTCCTAATGATGATGATATGTTAAATTATAAGATAGCGCTGGATTGGGATTCAAATAATTATCTGAATCCAATTTATTGCGTATATTTAATGTGCTCTGCAAATATTATATATATACTATAACATAATGACATGATAACATGTAACAAGAAAAACAAATTGTACCTATATAATTAACTGAATTTGGTGTCACCTTAAAGCTATCACTTGAAAAAATAATATGTACATTACTTTTATTTCGAATATTTTTATATATTATACTTATATATTATTATTATTATTTTTATATATATATTATTATTATTATACTTACTTGGAATAAGTTCATCAGGTACCAAAAAAATTTCTGATTCCGTTTCTTTCATTTTGCCACTACGGTAACGTTCGTGAGCTTCAATGGAACGTTCCATGGTTACGATGTTTATGGAGAAGTAAACCTTAAAACAAAAATCTTTGTTAGTAAATCAAATATTACAAAACTAATCACATACAAATTAAATTAGGTAAAATTTAAGTTCGTGGTAGCACTTCCATCAAAATATAGTCGAACTCTATATTGGAAGCTTTCAACTATGCAATTTAGACATTTTGTGTCACATGAGTAACGCTCCCTCGCTCGTCTTAATTCGTGTCCGCCGATAAAAACATATTATGCGACTGTAATACAAAGAAGAGTAAACAAAAGTGGAGAAAAAGTGCGTGTACCTTTAAGCACAGTTGAAGTAAAACTATAAGAATATAATACTTAGAAAAACTTATTAATAATTGTATATTTATAGTAGCGATCCGCCCCGCTCCGCTCGGATGGTTTCCGGATCTCGACGACAGCGCCACCTCAAAAATTCGTTTTGGATAGGTTCCCATAAAATCCATTATATGTAAATCTATGTCAAGAAAAGAGTATACGTGCCAAATTTCAAGTCAATCGGGCGTATAGTTTTGGAGATATCGTGGTGAGTGAAATTCGCTTATATATTTATAGATTACTAATTTATCATTTTTGCTATATTATTAATATTTTACAGTTGCCAATACCTTTAAAGCTTATTAAAAATCGATGCTGAACTCAACGGTGAAAAAAAAATCGTGAGGAAATCAGTCATCAAGGACTGCAAGAGACGAGGCGGGCTAACTGTCCATAACTCTTTCAGTGAGACGAGCACTGGTTCGTATACGGGCTGTAGATTTTATTGTTATTTGTGGATTAATATAATAAAAATAGAGATTTCCTTTTAATTATTACGTGGCTATCAAAACTTACTCAATTTAATGAAGAAAAAAATATTATTTTAAATATTTAAAAATAATGTACATAAATAACGCAACTGAATTTATTAGCTTGCTTTCAAAAACGCAAATTATTTTCGATGTTCAGCGCGATGCTATGTCGTTAACGAAATTACGATACGACTTCGGAGGAATAGCGAGTCGAGCGACTTTTGAAAATTAGGTATTTGAATAAACTATTACTGTCGCTCCGCGAGCGCTTGGTGTCCGATAAGAACACCTGCAGATCTGACTGAATAGTCTAAGTAAAAAGGCATAATTCTAGGTTTGGCTCTCTACCATTTCCTCATCTAATATTGGACCAATTTAAAAGATATTTCATAAACTGAATAAGAAGGATCTTTTTGATAGGAGAGGGGGCAAACGAGCATGCGGCTCACCTGATGGTAAGTGACTACCGCCGCCCATGAACAAACGCAACACCAGGGGAACCAGTCGAATTGCGGATGCGTTGCCGGCCTTTTAAAAAGGAGTAGACTCTTAGGATATACGCTGTGTCCCTATGTTTTACTTTTTCAGTATTAGTTATCAAATTTGAACACTAGGCTTCTGTTTACAGCGGTATAAATAGGCAATTTTGAGTATTTTGTGAGGGTTCTGCTTGTAAGGTAGTGTATCATTAAAAAATAATACATGCAACATAGAGATATACTCATTACAGTAAGGTCATAAACCAGAAAGAATACAAGCGAGAGCGTTTGTATGGAGAAAAGACCACCCGCATTGCCTTTTAATGGTGAACGATCATGATAAACTGCTTTTTTCAAATTTATGAATATAAGTCACAATGTTTACATAGATACTATTAAAAGTTGTACAAGGGTAATATTTATATTAGATATATAGGATGGCCAAAGCATATAAAAGATAATATGTATAACACATTTACAATGTTATAAATAAACTGAGATTAATTAGAAGCCACTGCAAACACTTTTTCCTGTCAACAAGATGTTTTATAAACGGCACAAGTGTTATCATCCACCATCTTGCTTCTATCGACTGGCAGAAGTGCAATTCGCAAAAGCACAATGTTTGGCAGGCATGATAATTTATTTTTTATTATTTTTTATTAACTTTGTTTATTTATTTAAGTGATAAGACATGTGTTTAACGCTAAAGTCGATAGGGAAATCAAAACATATGTACCCCCCACTAGTGCTGCCTGTGGTTCTTAACTCTTTCTTGGGTTCTGTACCTACTCTTTTTTAAATCTTCAGAGCAAACAGGCCAATTAGTTATATTTTAAACTCCTTGTTAAATTTATTCTTTTGCATTTATGTCTCTTAATAATTATTTTGAGTTTGACGAATTTTTTTTATCGCATGACAATACCTTTTCATATGAATCAAACGACTCTATGCTACCATTGTAAAGGGTTTTTCAATAGATCACTGTTTGGTGTGGATTTTGGTGTGGCGGTATGCAAGGAGCCGCGCTCACTGTCAATTGCGATATCGGACGATGATAAAAAAAATTGTGGCCTAGTATACATGGTATAGACCTCACAAACATGTGGTTGCAACAGGATGGTGCCACTTGTCATACTGCACGGGAAACTATGAATTTATTGATTGATAAGTTCTAGAGCTTTGTCATCTCACGTGGTGGCGACATCAACTGACCACCGAGATCGTGTGACTTAACACCGCTCGACTAATTTGTGTGAGGCTACGTGAAGTTTCTGGTCTATGCAGACAAACTACAGACAATTGCCGCACTGAAATCCAACATAACTCACGATCGTCATGAAATTCTGCTTTATTTGTCCTTTGTTTGTTTTTGCAAAATTGGTCCACTAGGATACACCACCTATAGCGGAGTTGCGGCGGCCATTCCGCTGAAATTATATTCCATAAATAATTTCATAGAATGTCCTTTAAAAACATTGTGGTAATATTACTTACACGTGTTCTTTTATTTCATTTCATGTCGCCACCATAGCCAGGAATAGCGGGACCGCCGGGGACTGGAGGCCGTCTTTTCTTTTTTTTAAATATGATCAATTTATTATATCGATGGAATAAAGTTATATTGGAACTGCACAATTATTAATGTCCTTAGTGAGTTTGCGTGAGTATAGGGGTGGGGAGGGGGGATTAGTGGCCGTTACTTGGTAACCCATGGTAAACGTAGGGCGACTCACGTGGCTGGCCCGAAGTGAAGGGCTGGCCCAAGGTGGTCTCTCTGAGGGGACTTGTCGAGCTCTTGGATGTGTGTTAATGGGCTGCGGCTTGAGGAGAGTCTTCTCTCTATATCGCTGCAGCTAAGGTGGAGTCGCAAGGGAAGAGGATTGTTGGTATGGCGATGTGCCACTCGATTATCCTCCGCTACTTTCTCGGGGCTGTACCACTGGGTGCTTCCGAGTGCTCATTTTTTCCTGGCTCCAAGGCCTCCACATATCGGATTCAGGGAGTCCGGTAGAGTAAAAGGCCGCAAAGAGTAGTGCGCCATGTGTTCCTGGTGCGCCTTATCTGAGAAGGAAAAGGGGAAAGAGAAATCTCCAACTAAGGAGGGGTCCTCGCTGGTGGGACCGTTGATGTGTTTGAAACCGTTTCCGTGGCCTTGCCAATGTGTGTTGAAGTTGGAACACTATGCGGCTTTAGTAGGTGTGAGACCGACATAATCCGTTCTTGCCCCCGCGCATGCGTAAGCATTTGAAGCCCGTAGAAAAATCGGTTCTGTAGTTATAAAAACATAGATAGACCAACGCCGCGTCGATCTTGGTTGTATGTGAGGTATAATGCTTGCGTCTAAGGCCTAGGTATTAATTGATTCATTTATTTATATTATTTATTAATATGATACATAAATAGAATGGACGTTATGTGTAGACCTGGGTATAGAATTTTTATCGATATATTTTGTCACACTGTCTTATCTCTATTATTAGTTCCATGGACGTTCACTTCTGCTGTCAACGCCAAAATGGCGAAAATCAAATCGCCTCATTATGTCACGGTGTATAGCCAGTCCATATATAGAGGTTAGTGATACGGACTGTAACGACATATCATTGAAACCATCAACTTCAAGTAAAAAAGTTTATTCTGGAAAAAAAATATATATTTTACTTTTTTTTTGAAAAGTCCGAATTTAAGTTAGTGTAAGAGAACTACACATGTTGTAATTAAACATGGATAGCTTACTAATTATTTGGATTCACGTAAAAGATTATTTTAAATCGTGTGAATACGCTTGTACAAAGTTATTGCAGAATGATTAATGTGAAACGTCAAAAGGTATTTCCTAAATTTGGTGAAGTATAAGAGGAGAACAGAAATTAAAACCTTAAGTTGTATACTATAACTAAGCAATTAATATATTAAGAAAAAATAGAAAACTTCGAAAAATAAATTAAAAAAAAACTAACTACACCACACAATATAGCAGCAAGGATTGGTCGAGTTCACTCCCGTCACTCCCCTCTTAGATCATACGCAAAATTAAAATTAAAATTATACACCACCTTACTTGATGCTCTGTGATTGGTTGCTGCATTGGTGTTCTCACTGTAGTGCGCAAAGCACCCTATCCCGGGTGATGGCAGTCTCACGGTGTTGTTGTGAAGTGTATCGGGCGCTCGTTATGGAGCAAAGAGTGTTTGTTCATGTGTGCGCATGGTCGGGAAAAACTGAAGCTTGCGCCCTAGTATAATCTTATGGCTGTACAGCAGTATAGTGAGGCCGATTCTTACCTACACCTCCACTGTCTGGTGTAATAAAGCCAACCAGAAGACAACTGCGGACAGACTAAATAGTCTACAAAGGACTGCCTGCTTAATGGCAACTGGATCGATGCTATCATCGCCTGGAGCAGCTCTTAATGAAATCCTAGGCATAATGCCCATTGATCTTTACTTATATAAGGAGGCGAAGGCTAGCTTGTATAAGATTAACGCTTAGGGCGGTTTGAGCTTGCTATAGATTGAGATCCATGCTCGACTCAATCAAGGAAACAACGGTCTTATGCATGCTCTCTGATATCATGCGTCCACTGTATACTTTTAACCAGAAGTATACAGTGGAACTACCCTCCAGCGAAGACTGGCTGAATGGACAGGTCATCTGTGAGGTCAGTAGACTTATATCGTATACCGATAGGTCCAAAATGGGCATCAACGTAGGCTTTGGAATTTATGGGAAGAGACCCAAATTCATACTTAGTATCAATTCGGGTAGATTCACCTCTATCTTCCAGGCAGAAATTTTCGCCATTCTTCAATGTGCGGAAATCAATGTGCAAAAACACTACGTTAACTATATAATGATATAATCTATATTAACTTCTGATAGTCAAGCAGCACTGCTAGCGCTGAGATCAAAGTTGGTGAATTCGAAGCTAGTTGGAGACTGCGTATACTGCCTGATTGACCCTGGAAATTCTTTATCACAACAAACCACTTAAGATCTGTTCTGATATACCAGGTTTAAAACATTCAAATACCTTAATCAGGGCTTTCGATCATAAATTCGCTTCGGAAGCCCTAGGATTAGGTAGAAATAAAGTGCGCATTCTATATTCTGGTAAGAGCCCTCACTTGACACTGTCGTCTTAAAAAGCACATCTCTGTCCTGGGACTTAGCAACTCAAACATGTACCAAATTTGCTTCCTAGAGGAGGAAACGCCTTTACACATCATGACAAATTGCGGACCCTTAATGCGCAAACGCAGCACTCATCTGGGAAACTATATACTTCACTCAGAAGAAGTGAATTACTCACAGCTAAGCAACTCCTTCCATTCATTGAGGATGTAGGGCTTAACAGTGAACTGTAGACATAGATCTTTTAGGTCGAAGTGATACTGGTCTTTCTAGACCTGCATAGCTGCTCGTACATAACAAAAAAGGTGTTCATTTTAGGCACACACCTCCCCCGCCGTAAGGTGGGGAGCTTGGTACACATATGTGCTTGCTAGCATATTCGATAAAATGGCGTCAATAACGATCGCCGCACTCGCCCATTTTTTTAGTTGAGCCTACCCCGACATCCAGGCTGTGTTCATTGCACAGCGCAATGCCTGTCCCGCCTCGAGCCCCTGTTCTAGTCCGCGCCTCTAGCAGGCCCTCTGTCTGGCCCCTATAGACCGTCTGACCGTGCGGATTGACGATCCTCTGTCGCCGAGCACCGAATCCACAACCGCTGTATCCATAGACACAATTTATGACGCCGCGTCCACCGCGCCCTCTGCGATGTCCACCCGCGGCCCGTCCCGTGTCTTCTCGGATGCCAAATCAATCTGCGAAATGGAGACCGATACCATCGTCTCGCTCAAGACTGAAGACGAAGGCTTCTCCCTCGTTCAGGACAAAAAGCGCAAACGTGCAGCTTCTAAAAAGGGCAGCCGTGCCTAATTCAGCCCCCTCGTACTCCACCACCACTTCGGCGATAAAACCAGCCGCCGCAACGCGCGCTCAAGTCCCCAAGCCTGCAGTAAATGGGTTCCCTGCTGAACGTAGAGTAAAGCCGCCACCTCCCTAATCATAATCCAAGGCAAAACAACGGGGGTCTCCCCCGGGGTGACCATGGGTTGCTTTAAAGCACCCGAAACGTCGGGAATTAAATAGACAATTTAAAAAGCTGTTATTTTAACGTTACAAACAGACATTTCAATTTTATTTATTTGTATAGATATTGATGATAATGTCTGGTTAATTAATCGATCTAGTTATTTTCTATGGACTCTCCTGATATGGATATCAAATGTATGGGTTTTCTGACTTCCAAAGATGGCGGACTATGTTTTTTCATTCACCCCCATGATGTGGATATCAAATGAAAGTGAGTCGGCCTACACTCTGGGAAAATTCTAGCAGTGGTGAAAAAAAAATGGCGGAAAGCAAGAACTCGGCAAACACACATACACGCTGACACACACACACACACACACACACACACACACACGTGTATGTATATATTCTCGTCGAATGTACGATTTTTGGAATAGTTGGCCATACTCTACCTATACTAACAGCGAAGGGATGTTGCGTCAAAGAGGCAATAGAAGGAAGAAGAAGAGGAATACTAAATAGTTACACAACAATTTACATTTTTTTTATAAGATCGGGTGACAAACGAACACACAGTCCACCTAATGGTAAGTGGTTACTGTGACCCATAGACATCTACATCTATCCTCAATAAAGACTCAAGATGCAGATGCCTTGTCACCCGTGAGGACAAAGATGGAATGCCTCTTTGCCAGTAAAAAGGGTCTCCGGTTCTCTACACTCACCATACGAAACACAGCAGCGTTAAGCTGCTATTTTACGCTGGTTTTCTGTGAGAGCGTGGTCCTTCCCCAGTCGAACCGACCCATTCGTGCTACAACCATCAATCTAACAGTCGTTTTGCGAGGTGTTATAAGAGGAGATTTCTAGGAATATCCCTATGTCGCGTCTTGACTTTGTGCAATAATATAGGGTTATCGATACGGCGATCTCATGATTAGCAGTGATTAAAATATAGCATATGGCAGCTTAAATTGCTCGATAAGAAAGATAATACTTACCATCGCATAGAATGCCGATGCGTAGCATAAGAGACGAAGTCTCCTCCAGCAACCACGAGATCGTATTATAGGCATGGTGTGAGATCTTGATTCTGTAAACAAATAAATGGCGTTTAATATAAATGGTAACGCATTAAAAAATGATAATCAGCGACGAAAAATATACATAATTTTGGAATGAAAATAATTAACGTATTATTTGTCTGCTTTATGCAACAAGATCAGATCATATAGCCCACTTAATTGTATGTGATAGCCTACAAACACCTATTCTCGATTAATAATTGAAATGTTGTTACCCTTAGTACGAAAACAAAATATGACGGTACCAGTAAAAAGGGTATCCGGTTCTATTTTCAAGAAGCTCGGTTCGCAGAGCACTCCTCTCCCTTGACATCCACAAGTCGAGTGGGCCTGACGGAATCCCCCCAATTGTGCTGAGGACGTGTGCTCCGGAGTTGGCAACGGTTCTAACGCGTCTTTTCCGATACTCCTACTCCCTAGGCGTAGTCCCGAAATCATGGAAGACAGCTTTTGTCCACCCGATCCCTAAAAAAGGCGACCGCTCGGACCCGTCCAACTACAGGCCTATCTCCATCACCCCCTTGTTCTCCAAAATAATGGAATCGGTCATAAACTGCCACCTCATGCGGTACCTTGAGGATCACCAGCTGATTAGTGAGCGCCAGTAAGGTTTTCGTCGGGGTCGATCAGCTGGTGATCTTCTGGTCTACTTAACTCATAGATGGGCGGAGGCAGTAGAGTGCAAGGGGGAGGCATTGGCCGTTAGTTTGGAAATTGCGAAGGCCTTCGATCGGGTTTCGCACAAAGCGCTTCTTTCGAAGCTCCCTTCCTATGGGCTTCCCGAGAAATTATGCAATTGGATCACCAGCTTTCTTGCAGATCGGAGCATCAAGGTCGTTGTAGATGGTGCATGATCCGACTACAAGCCTATTAACGCTGGTGTTCCACAAGGCTGCGTGCTATCACCAACGCTGTTTCTTCTACATATCAATGATATGTTGCAAGCCGGTAGCATTCATTGCTATGCGGATGACAGCACTGGTGATGCTCTATACACCGGCCGTGCCAATATTTCTCGGGAAAACGTCACCGAGTACCGGAACAAACTTGTGTCTGAAGTCGAGTCTTTGCTGGACAAAGTCTCGGATTGGGCGCGACTAAATCTAGTCCAGTTCAATCCTCAGAAGACACAAGTTTGCGCGTTTAACGCTAAAAAGAACCCCTTTGTCGTATCTCCTCAGTTTCAAGGTACTCCCCTTTATTGCCTCAGCCAGTATCGGAATCCTCGGCGTTGACATATCGAGTGACGTGCAGTTTCGTGGTCACTTGGAAGAGAAGGCCAAATTAGCCTCTAAAAAGCTTGGCGTGCTCAGCAGAGCGGGACAGTATTTCATGCCAGCTCAACGCCTGCAACTTTACAAGGCCCAGGTTCGGCCTCACATGGAATACTGTTCCCATCTCTGGGCTGGGGCTCCCCAGTGCCAGCTCCTTCCACTTCCAGCGCAGAGCGGCTCGAATCGTCGACGACCGACTCCTTTCCGATCGGCTCTACTCATTGGCACTGTGAAGAGGTGTTGCATCTCTTTGCATTTTCTTTCGCATTTACCATGGGGAGTGCTCTGAGGAATTGTTCGGATTAATCCCAGCCGCCAAATTTCACGAACGCACATCGCCGCATAAACTCCCGATACCATCCACACCATCTGGATGATTGGCGGTCCACCACTGTGCGATTTAGAAGATGTTTTCTTCCTCGCACAACTTCCTTGTGGAATAGTTTACCACCAGCGATTTTTCCGGATCGATACGACTTAGGGACCTTCAAAAAAAGAGCCTACTCATTTTTAAAAAGGCCGGCAACGCATCTGCAATTCCCCTGGTGTTGCGGTTGTTCATGGGCGGCGGTAGTCACTTACCATCAGGTGAGCCAGCATGCTCGTTTGCCCCCTCTCCTATAAAAAAAACCATACGGAACACACTATACGAAACACAGCCCATTATGCTATTTTACTCTGGTGTTCAGCAAGACACGTTCAGCAGTGGATTTGTGATGGACTGTAATAATGATGATGATGGCGACAATTCTGCTAATAAGTGGTATTTCCTTGGTTAAGCAGCCATTGTTACTACGTAAAATCTGTCTTCGTAATATTTTTTAAGCAATTTTAACGGTAAGAAACATAAAATGTTAGTTATCTTGCCTTTACAAAAATTATAATAGCAGGTAGGCCAGATAAAAGTATAGACAAAAGAAATCGTCAAACTTATTCAATGTTCATCAAAGTCATATTTTGTGATACAGGAACAAAATCAGCAAGAGAAAAATCTCTTTCCTATAACTTTTCTTTGAGAAAGGAAGTTATATTGTAACAAGAAAACATAAATTATGATACGTTATACATCAATAAAAATATTTTTATTGGTATATAACGTAAATAGTTTGTTTTTCATAGAAAATAATGTTTAGATTTTAAAACTCAACTATCATTTTGCTAATAAAACGGATCTGCCTCTTTTAGCCTAAGCTTTTTTAAGGAACTTTCTCAAACTTATCTGATCAATATTTTATTCATTTCAAACTACTAAATATTCACATGTTCCATTTATTAAAAATAATATTCATATCAGTCGCAAAAATTGTTAATAGCAGTATTTATAGCAAGTATTAGTAGTAAGTAGTAACAGTATACTACTACATAAATATTACAACAAACTCCATCCAAACACCAGGAGTAACAAACTATTACACAAACGGTAAAAGCAAAAAAATCACACATGTTTTTTTTTTGTTATAACTGATAGAAAAGTTTAAAGTATCGCCTTAACTTGAAGAATGCACTATATTCGAGTTACAATTAAAGAATGTAGATGATACAGAAACAACCGTCAATATATTTATGTCAATTCTACTGTGGGTACAACGGTATCACTAACGGATCTTATACGCAGACCAGCTGGGCCAGTCAAGTGACTTTCTGCAATCGTTATCAAATAATAACCATTGCACGATGAAATGACATAAGGCATGTGACTTTCAATTTATTTTACTTATTCATTTTAATAGTTTTCTATTAGCCTTGACGATTGTTGAATATTAACTTGGCTAGTCCGTAGCAAGAGTTTTACATCCATATATCTACGCATACACGCTCGTCGGTTAAGGGTCCTCTTAATCTGGCCCATTTTTAATGTATCGCCGATTTGGTCGATAAACCTTCGTCTAGGGCGTCCCTTCCCGAACCTGCCGTTCACTTCTTTGCTTTGTCACTCTTTCCTCGTTCATTCTTTCTACATGATCAAACCACCGAAGCATTCCTTTCTTAATCCTTGTCACAATGTCACCTTGCAAACTACACTTTTCTCTTATCACACTATTTCTCACCCTGTCATTCAGATTCAGCCCTAGCATACTCCTTAAGGACTACATTTCTACAACATTTATTCTACTTTCATGCTTCTTCTGCCAGACCGAACTTTCACTACCATACATTAATGTAGGGACTAACACAGCATTATGAATTGCCATACGTTTCTTATTTGACACATGCTGACTCCTCATAATAGCGTGTAGGGCCCCATTCACTCTATTTCCTGCGTTCACTCGTCGTTCTATATCCTTATCATATCTACCATCCCTGCTAAATTAACATCCCAAATATACAAACTAATCCACTTGCTCAATCAACTTCCTTTCTATTCTTATTTCACATAACGTTTTACTTTCTTCTCTTTCAAAAACCATCACTTTCGTCTTACTTGCGTTCACTTTCATACCCCTTTCCTTCAATGACCAGTTCATTAAAGTAACCATCAGTTACCACTCGGCCACCGACGATGCAAATATGACTTGATCATCGGCGTACAAAAGGCATTTGACGGTTGACTCACCCAATCTCAACCCAAATTCTTCAACTTTCAAAGTTTGCAAACAACTGTCCATAAATAGGCTAAACAGCCACGGGGAAGCCACACATCCCTGCCTGACATCTTTATGAATGCCAAACCAGTCCGAGTAGACCCCGATGATCCTGACACAAGCACTAGAGTCCCTATACAGAGACCTTAATGCCTGTATCAAGCCAGCGCTCAACCCAAATGAGTTCAGTGTTTGCCATAACACATTCCTGTCCACTCTGTCATAAGCCTTTTCCAAGTCCTTGAACACACAAAAATCTTTCTGGATTTAGGCCAAAAACTTCTCCGCTATCATGCGCATGGAAAATACTTGATCCGTACACCCCATCCCCTTTCTAAATCCAGCTTGCACTTCCCAAATTTTTCCATCAGTTTCTTCCATAACTCTTTCAATTAACACCTTAGCATACAGTTTACCCACAATGCTAAGCAAGCTGATACCACGGTAGTTTTTACAGTCCTGCTGCGAGCCCTTTCCCTTATATATTGGGACTATAACGGCTTTGCACCAATCTTCCGGTACCCGTTTCAGTTCCCAACATAAATTAAACAAGGTGTACAGCAGGCCTGCAACCACACCCTCTGCAGCCTTTAGCGTTTCGAGTGATATTTTATCATATCCGACTGCCTTACCTGATTTCATGATTTTCATTGCTTTCATTATTTCATCTACACTTATCTCCCTACCTCTCTCCACTTCTTCTGGAATTTCTATTCCACTTACTTCAGACGACTCTTCACTCTTAAACACGCTTTCAAAGTATTCCTTCCATCTCTTTAAATTCGAAATTTCATCATTCGGCATACACCCATTCTCGTCTCGTATAGCATTCATTCTAGGCTGTTTTGATTTCCCCTGGCAGTTCTTACGAGCTTCCAGAACAACATTTGCCTGGAAGTTATCAGATATCCTTCTATCATTCTTATCTATCCTTTCTTGCTTTTTCCTTTCAACAACTTCTTTTATTCTCTTATTTATACGTCTAAAGTCTGCCTTTTTTCTTTCTATCTCATCATTCATACCGCCAAAATTACCAGATTTAGTCGCTAGTAAATCTAGCTACGCTCTCTTCTTTGCTTCAACTTCCATCCGTACCCCATCATCCCACCATAACGTATTACTTTTCATTTCATTCGTTCTCTTACTTACACCACATACTTCGGTGGCTGCATCCACCAAAACTTTCTTAATATTATTCCATACATTCTTCAAGTCTAAATCATTCATACATAATTTATTCAACCCACTTATATTTTCCCTCAGTCTGCATTTATACTTCTCTTTCACACCTTCATCTTGAAACCTCTCTATTCTTATACGCTGTAACGCAGTGGTAGACACAGATGTCCGATACCGCCAACGTTTGAATAGATCATTAATTCGGCATAAGACCAAGTAATGATCCGTCCCTACGTTGGACTCCCGGTAAACCCTTATATCTACCACTGCGCTCCTCATTCTTTCATCCACAATTATGAAATCTATCATGCTTCTATCATCTCCTCTTTTCCATGTATACATGTGAATCCTCTTTTGGCAAAAGAAAGTGTTCGCCACAAAAAGATTATTTTCCACACATACGGTGAGGAGGTCTTCACCATTCTCATTTATTCTTTCATTGCCAAACGTTCCTAATATCCTTTTTATAACCAGACCACCAGCATTACGATGTCGAAAAACTGCTCTCGGATATAAGTGGGCTTAGACATATCTGGGGCGTACACCCCTAGCACAAACAACTTCTTTAAGCCCACTTTCATTCGTATCTACATCAGCCTTGGGCTCACACATTCATATTCTTTCACACATTGACCCGTTCTTTCTGAAAGAATGACACCGACTCCCTGCCATGCCCGCTCGGTAGGTATACATGCCATGTACAGTGACATCTCTTCCCTTTCGTTTTCTCGTTTACACATAACACATCTATTCCTCTATCATTCATCATTTCGCATACTTCATCCATCTTATCATTCATTGCTCCACATACATTCAGCGTAGCCAGATGGGCCTTCGCAATCCACTTTTTGCCCCTCCGGGAGACAGCAGGGGCGAAAAAGTTTCCTTTCTCAATCATGATTTTTAATGTTTAGGCCCATTTTCAATTTTATTTTTCCGTTCCAAAATTTTGTACACGTAATATAAATCAAACCTTTTTATTGGCACATATGCCAATATTAGGTAATTATGATAAATTTATTTTTATGACAAAATATAATTTATGATTATTCTTTTTCGATTCAAATTTCAAATAAATGCATACTGTAGCTAAAGAACATTTTTTTCCAAATGTTGGCCCAGTGCCAATTGCATGAAAACCAATTTATTGCCAGCAGTGTCAATGATTGGTATTTGGGGTGCCAATAACAATTAAATATTTCATTTTTGTTATCTTAAAAATGAAGCCTCGTTTTAAAAATATTAATAAAATTAGCAATGAAAAGCTAAAGCGGAAGGTCTACTCCGAAGATAATTTGCAAAAAGCCCTTGTAGAAATAACTAAGGACATGAGTAAAAAACTGGCTGCAAAAACCTTTCAAGTTCCACGTTCAACCATACAATTCAGTCTAAAAATTCCAGGGCATGGCTCTAAACCAGGCCCTCCAACAATTTTAAATAACGAGGAAGAAGAGGCTTTAGTTAACTGGATCAAAATCATTAGCCGGAAAGGCTTCCGTAAAAGAAAAGAAGAGTTAATTAAGATTCTTTTAAGAACGGAGAAAAATGGTTTAAATTATTTTAAGCAGACATCCTACATTAACTTTCCGTACACCTGAATCAGTTACAGCCGCCAGCTCAACAATGTCAGAAAATGATGTCAGAGGATGGTTTCGGCAAATAAAAGATTACATTGATGAAAATAAATTGTTTCACATACTTTCTGATCCAGGGCGTGTTAATGGAGGCCAAACAAATTTCATGCTGTGTCCAAAAACAGGTGTCATTTTGAGTTCAAAAGGCGAAAAAAACGTATACGAAGTTGATCACGCCCAGGCCAAAACTTGTTTGATTGTTATGTTCACTTTTTATGCAGACGGTAATCTTACACCACCGATGGTGATTTTTTTCTTATAAAAGACTACCTGCAGAAATAACTGCACAAATTCCTGACGACTGGGGTGTAGGTCTTAGTGAGAATGGGTGGATGAATTCAGATATTTTTTATGAATATATTAAAAACGTTTTACATCCCCATCTGGTTAAAATAGGCAAAATATTTCCAGTCGTACTTTATGTAGACGGTCACAAGTCCCATCTAACTTACGCCGTGAGTGAACTGTGTTCTAATTTGAAGATAGTTCTGATTGCACTTTACCCTAATTGTACTAGGCTTTTACAGCCTGCTGACATTGCTGCATTTTTTTACCTCTAAAAATACAATGGAAAAAAACTGTTTTTAAACCTCTAAAAACACAATGGCAAAAACTGTCTTAGATTGGCGTTGAACAAATCATCTCAAGCTCTAAGAGTCAATTTGTGCCATTGCTTCAAGTCCCCATGGAAAAAAGCATAAAGCCACAAACTATTGTAAACGGGTTTAGAGCAACAGGACTTTGTCCATGGAATGAAGATGCAGTAGACTACAATAAATGCCTCGGAAAAAAAGGCACAAAAACAACCAATTCATCTCAAATCACTCAAGAAGAAGAAAACTTACATACAAAAGAAGACTTTGTTCAATTATTAGGGGAGAAAAAGATTTATTGCATAGAAAAAGGAGAGTTAACTTTAAAAGAGTCCATTCAATTGTTGTAGAGAATCTGGCATCTCTTCGGCACATCGGTCAATATATCTCAACAGCAAAATCTAGACATAGAATCAGAAAGTAAAAATAACGTTGAAGACTTAAATAATTTAGATATCGAAAATATGCAAATATGTTTTGACGATTGTTCAAATAATATTGTGGAATGCGAAGAATTAAAGTTGGTACCTATATCAGAAGAAATTGTTGTTGAAGAAATCGTACAGTGCTCAGACGAAGGGAACATGACCATTGAAGATTTATCACAAGAACGTCATTTTGAATTAGTAAACCATACTGTCCAAATTCATAGATCTCCTGAAGACACGACTATAAATTTACCAAAAGCTCAATCAATACAAATTATTTCAGGTACATGTGTTCCACCTCTCACAGCTTCAATACCCATGAAAGATCTCACACCAGTTAAGTTAAATGACATTTTGATATTACCTGAAACACCTATAAGAAAACGGGTTAAACACTCTATTTAAACCCCGTTTGAACTGACTTCAGCCCAGTAGAAAGAAAAACTAAGTGAAAAAATCAGAATAAAAAAAGAGAAAGCAGAAGGAATCAAGAAAAGAAGAGAACGAAAGAAAATAGAAAAGGAGAGACGACCGGCGCCAAATAAACAAATCAACAACAAAAAGAAGCTTAAGGACGAAGTATCTGAGATATTATTTTCAGAGGAATTTTATAAATTTGATAGTGAAGATAGCATTGTTAAAAATAAAGAAAATGATCAGGAGGTAAATGATATAAACATAATGCAAAGAGAAGGGAGTCGTAATAAATACACCAAGGAAGAATTAGAAAAAGTGTTGACTGAATTAGATGATTAGTTTGTACCTCAATAAGTGATCTCAGTTGATTATCTTGTTAGGCTAGTATTTAACTTGAAAGTTATAATAAAGTACATAAGTTTGTTTCCTTAATGTTTATTTGAATTTTTTATATAATTTTGTAACAATTAATACAAATACTTTGATAGAAAGAAGTTCTTAAACTCTATTCCTGTTCCTTCGAGAAAAAATACTGTTTACATTATAATTTAATTTTCAAAATTAATAAATCCATTGCTATGTTATGTACCTAGCATGTATTGTGTCACTTACACTTACTACATAGGATTTACTATGCCAATGACTGGTCTTTTTTATAGGAGACAGGGGCAAACGAGCATGCGGCTCACCTGATGGTAAGTGACTACCGCCGCCCATGAACACCTGCAACACCAGGGAGGGAATTGCAGATGCATTGCCGGCCTTTTAAAAAGGAGTACGCTCTTTCCTTGAAGGTCCCTAAGTCGTATCGGTCCGGAAAAATCGCTGATGGTAATCGATTCCACAAGGAAGTCGTGCGAGGAAGAAAACATCTACTATATCGCACAGTGGTGGACCGCCAATCATCCAGATGGTGTGGATGGTATCGGGAGTTTATGCCGCGATGTGCGTTCGTGAAATTTGGCGGCTGGGATTAATCCGAACAATTCCTCAGAGCACTCCCCATGGTAGATGCGAAAGAAGATGCAAAGGGATGCAACATCTCTTCGCAGTGACAATGAATCGAGCCGAACGGAAAGGGCTCGGTCGTCGACGATTCGAGCCGCTCTGCGCTGGATGCGGTCAAGTGGACGGAGCTGGCACTGGGGAGCCCCTGCCCAGAGATGGGAACGTATTCCATGTGAGGCCGAACCTGCGCCTTGTAAAGTTGCAGGCAGTGTGCTGGCATGAAATACTGTCCCGTTCTGCTGAGCACGCCAAGCTTCTTAGAGGCCAATTTGGTCTTCTCTTCCAAGTTACCACGAAACTGCACGTCACTCGATATGTCGACTCCGAGGATTCCGATACTGGCTGAGGCAAGAAGGGGAGTGCCTTGAAACTGAGGAGATACGACAAAGGGGTTCTTTTAGCGGTCTTTTTACCCAACATAGTTTAACTTTTTTTTAATATTACTGTTAAACCTAAAGTAAAATCTACTGAAATACGTTATCTGATAATTTAAAAACAGTTTAAATTCCTTTTATTTCTTTAAATTCATATTATATAAGTAATATTGAAAGTTTTAATGGGATAGCCCCTTAAAGTGCCAATAAATGGGTGCTTTACTACTTAGACTAATTATACATACGAGTGATTTAAGAAGTGTGTGAAAATACAAGCGCAAAATATAATTAGGCGTGATTTCGTGTATGAAGATGTCTAACAAATAACTTAACCTCAGATCTAACTCTCTGCTGAGCGGAAAATTATATATAAAATAATATATATATACATACATATATATATATATATATATATATATATATATATATATATATATATATATATATATATATATATATATATATATATATATATATATATATATATATATATATATAAATTACGTATCACGTGTTGTTGTTTGTCCGCGATGGACTCCTAAACTACTGAACTGATTTTAATGAAATTTTGCACACTGTGCATTTTGGTTCAACTTGAGAGATACGATATTTTTTATACCGATAAATGACCCTCAAAATTTTTTATTGCAAAATTAAGGATTTTTATAGGAAGGGTCGTCGGAAAGGGCAGAACAACATCTGCATGGTCAGCTAGTATATATATATATATCATGAGGAACATGCCTTCTGTATATAATATGTGGATTGTTATCTATTCACACACTCCAATCCACGAAATCCCACATAACGCATACAACTGAATGAATTGGATAGGGGTGTGTTTGTGTACATTGATTTGAGCTCAGTTCTGTTTCCGTAGTTTCATTTCATCGGATATTTAATTGATTGCGTTGCAATGAAAATATTGATTTCGATCTATATAATTGTTTGAACAAAAAATCTAAATTTGCATAGAGATTTTGATAATGAATATCTTTATGGCAAAATCGTGTTTATTTTTATCTTATACACTTGTAACTTCTATATATTTTATATTATAACTATATATGGATAAAAAAACACGAAAAATCTCTATACAAATTTTATTAGAAACCTTTATTAGAATTTGAATACTGGCCTCTTAGAATCTTAATGACATTCAAACAATTTAAAAAAATGTTTAAAAACAAAAACTATATTGGTTTAAAGTTGACACGTCGTTAACAGAAATGTAGCTCGCGCGTGAACATTTTCGTGCCAAAATTTATCACAATTTTCGTCGCGGCTTATCTCAAGATAAATGTCTCAGCGAACTTGTTTCGATATATGATGTTGAAGCACCGAGTCAAACGATAATATACCGCTGGTATGCCGAGTTCCGACGCGGTCGTGTGTCGCTCAGCACTGTTTCTTCTGCAGGTCGACCAAGAACAGCGGTCACGCCTGAAAACATCGCAGCTGTGCGAACTATTATATTAGACGACCGTCATGTGACATATGAGCAGATTCGGGCTTTTATCATTATCGGAATGACTGCAATTTATTCGATATTACGTAATGAGCTGTGTGTAAGAAAGCTAGTTTCTCGCTGGGTTCCCCAAAATTTGTCCGTAGAGCAAAAGGCGGCTCGTGTAGATTGATGCCGGAATACTCAGCAACGCTTCAACGGAGGGAAGTCAAATGCCGTTTATAATATCGTTTCAGGTGAAGAATCATGGATTTATTCATACGAACCTGAAAGAAAACTTCAGTCAGCAGTTTGGGTCTTCGAAAACGAGGTCAAACCAACGAAAGTGGTTTGCTTCCGTAGCGTGTCAAAGAAAATGATCGCTACGTTTGTCTCGAAAAAGGGGCATGTTGCTACAATTCCTTAACAGGAACGCAGAACGGTTACCGCTGAGTGATATATCACGGTTTGTTTGCCAGAAAAGATAGCAGAACTCCGAAAAAATAACCCGAAACGTCGCATCATCTTACATTACGATAATGCGAGCTCCCATACGGCTCGGAAGACAAATGATTTTTTGAAGCAGGAAAACGTTGAGCTGTTGAGCCATCCTCCGTACAGTCCTGACCTGAGCCTATACAATTTCTTTACATTCCCTAGAATGAGAGATTTATTACGCGGTCAATGGTTTGAAAAC